TATCAATGTCTTAGGAGCTATTACCTGTGATACACTCTGTTTTAGTATCTTTAATACATTTTAGCAAAAGAGGTTTGTTTATTAGTTGCTTGGTTGGTTTTTAACACAAATCACTTCCTCTACTCAGGAGTCTTTCAATGTTCTGATAGATGTGTAAGAATATACAAATGGAAATAAATGGTAAATTTTCACCACAATTCTAAAAAAAAGAAAAAAGAAAAAAGAGGATCTTGAATCAGTGGACTGAGTTACAAAGACCTGTTCTTCTCATGGAAGCTGGGCATCATCAGAGCTACTGAAGGCCTAGAGAGAGAACAAAAAGCTGGAGGAAAATATGCCCCACTCTTGAGAGGGCCATCTTCACCAGCTATTGCTATCAGAGCTCTGGGTTCTCTGGCCAAGACGTGCATACCCACCAACAGCTCCTGATCCCAAGGCTATCAGTCTTGCTACAAAAGTCCTGCAACTGCATCTTTAAATGCTAGCTCTGCACATTCGCATTCTGCTTCCTCTGTGGGGACTTCAGGAATGCAAACGCTCTTCATCTTCCACTTCTCCTACTTCCTGTGACTCTTTTTCTCTTTATCACCTTTGCTCCTAATTATTTTCTCACCTTTCTCAAAGAGTCATAAGATTTTTGCATTTAAATCTATAGTCACTTGAGAACTAATCGTTTTTATATCTTTGCATAACTTTATTTTTCCAAAGTTCTAGTAACAATTCAATTGATTCAAAGAATTTCATTTTGTTTCAATTGACTCTTAATACTTTGTTGTCTGTTTTTATACATAGACTTTGAGTGTCTTAGTGTTGTACATGCTTAGGTTAAATAATCCCAAATATTTACAAGTACTTATTCTCTTTGGAATTAGAATTTTTTTTTCATTTTTCTCGCCCACCCTTTTTTGTAAGGAAATAAGGGTAAAAGCAACAAAGGGAAAGTGTTAATAAACTGAGTTTTTAAAAACTGTGGCTTTGTGGAAACGAAATTTGTGTTCTCGTTGTGGCAAGGGTCAGACAGTTGAGGAAGAATGATATTCCTAGTTTAAGAGCACCCTCTTCTGTCATTGTAAGAAAGTCATAATTTCTAATCACATAATAAACACACCATGTGCTTCTCAGTATGTTGTTTCTTCTGGCTTAGAAATTCGCTAGTAGTGCATTTGTAGCTAACGATTAACTTATGAGGACATAACGAATTTGTATCTCAGTACACTTAAAAACATAATTTAGCATAATGATATTATCTGTGAAAATTCAGAGTTCATTTTCATAAATGCAATTCACTCATTCATTCATTGCTTCATTTATTCTTTGGTTAGCACGTATTCAAATAGCTGTTGTCATATCACGTATGTGTTGTATGCTTATAATGGAAAGATAATGAAAATTATGATCTTTATTATCCATGGGAAAAAAGTAATCTACCCTCATACCCTCAAACACTGCAAATTTTAAAGATGATAAAGGAGGAGTTACTATATTCTCTTCTATGATTAGAAGTCTAGTTGTGTGTGTATATGTGCATTTGTGTGTGTGTGTGTGTGTGTGTGTGTGCACGCGCATTTGAAAGTGTGGAGGTCAGAAGACAAACTTATGGCATGGATGGTGTGGATTATCCCTCCTTCCTGGTATTGGACTTGTATCATCAGGACTACATAGAACACTTTCTTGCTGTTCCACCTCCCTAGCCATTTTGTGTAAATTGTAAGAAGATATTTTAATGCATGGTTATCTAGGAATGATAGTTAAAATGTCCAAAGGCTATTTTCCCCTCTTCCTCCACTAGTGGCATTTTATTTTATTTAAAAAACACATAAATACGCCAAACAATAACTTCTGGCAATTTATTAAAGTATCCTATTTAGTCAAGTAAGTAATTGCTTTGATCACACTAAAATGAGTCTTTGCTGTTATGACAAAGCAATGAAAATATAAAATTGTGTGAATTGATTTGCTGAGTGTGTATAGAGATTTTTGATAATCCTTTGAGAACTGAGAAGTTCTGCCTTCTATATCTGGTTCTTATAGTGTTGGATACATAAGAACTTTGCCTTTTTTAGCATTTTAGAGTGTTAATTTTAATTTCACAATATGTATTCATTAAAATATATTTATATTATAATTTGGCTATTTGCTTTCACCCCCACACACATACATATATGTAAGATTACACTAATTGTCTCCATTTCTATTTGTCCAGTTGTTTTCCCTGATTTTTCAGTTTTCTTCTTGGAATGTTTCTTATTTAAAAAAATAAATTACATTAA